AAACAAAATTTTGTGTCTTCTTGTTAAAGCAGTCACTGTGCATAGTAGCAAAAACTGGCAGATTTAATCACCAGTCTATAACATGCATATTTCAGATGTCACCAAAGTTATATAGTGGCCACTTTAATAAGGAATGCTCAAAATTTTAACCACTACGGTATGTGAATGAAAGGAAAAGTAATAATTAATCATTTATTTATTTGTTTGCAATTAAATTTCATTATTTAAAATTTAATTAACTTTAAATTTGCTTTTACGAATTGAGAATGTTTTTATTCAGAGCAAACAACAAAAATAGCGTTATACTTACAAAATTTTAACAGGATAGTTCGATGGTTTTACCGAACCACATCTTCAGCTGCAACCGCAAATGAACAAGATAGGAAAAATGATTAGATAAGAGATAGAAGCCTGGACAAGAAAGCAAGTGGCGCCATCTGTTGGTGAAACCAGAAGTAAAAACATAATTTTTTAAAGGCCGAAGGCAATTTGATTGGAATTAGGATCGTTACTAGAACAGAAAGATTTTTATGAATGTGAAATGCCCTGAAAATCCAATTCTCCAATGGAAGATGTCTTTGAATTTTGGCAGCAGAAAAACTGAAAGTGTGATTTTCGGACCAACAATGTTTAGCACAGAAGACTCTGTGTTTCCTTTTTTCTGCATATGCCTCATGCTCCTTGCGCGAAATTTCAAGGCTCTCTTATTTGGCCAATGTAAATTAAACACACTGGCGGAATCCTATAAATACCCAGGAATCAATCCGGAATGGGGTCCTTGAGTAGGACTCGAATATTGAGGGAGAATAAACAACCCGAAAGTTAAATTTCGCAAAATATGTGCAAATAGAATTGATTGGAAAGAAAGGAATGACAACAGAATTTTTAATCTCCTAAAACAAGAGTGTCCTTTTTAATGTGTTAATGAGAATTTTTTAACTGCTTTTAATAATTTGGGTGGAAAGCCCCGTCAATAGCTAGTTTAAATAATTTAGTCTTCAGCAAGGCTAGTTTGGAGGAGCAAACTTGAAGAGCACGGAAAACATAGGAATAAAATGAAGCTACTTGGTTTAGTCGGATGACATGATTTAAAGTGTGGTGGAGGCAAACGATGAACAGGTTTACGGTAAACCGTACTACTGAAGTTGGATGTGTTACGTGTGACCAGAAGTCGAGAAAGGAAGCGATGCAAGTCTCAGTTCAAAGTGCTGATGCAGGATCAATAGATTCACTGTTGAAGAAACTTTATTTAAATCATCTTTATACTCAAACAGAGTAAAAGTATGTCTACGTACGGAAACATGCGGGAAGTTTAAGTTCAAACATTTGATTCTAATGCATGTAGATATCAGCCGGAGGGATGAGGGGGCTTCCATGGTAATCCTCAGTTTGCTTGTATATTTATTTTGAAAACAAAATGTGTTTCAAACAGAGTTGAGTGAGAGAAATTAGTTATCAATTTCATGCAAAAGAAAGAATTCGCGAAGTCTGGTTCTATACATCTATCACCCTCCACGGGACATTGTGAATAATGATTTTACATCAAAGCAACCATAGTAAATACTAGGAAATGTTTTTATTTTTTTTACAACTATATTGAATTTTTTATGTGTAAATGTTATTGTCAATAGAGTTGAAAATCAGAAATAATATTTAGCTAATGGATACGCCAGTACCTAATTGATACAGTAGGGCAGAAAGGAATACATTAATGAATTTTGGGAAGAGCATAAATCTGGCACACTTCGTAACAGGGGGATAAGTGAAAGTTTTAATTGCCAGATTGCGAAGATTTGATCGCATTTATTTGAAAGTCGAAGGTGAAGGATCTTTGGGATCGGATATATGTCCTTCGTTTAGGAGTTTGTGACACCATCGATGTAAGTGTCCTTCCATGACGACTATCTGCCACTTTGTCGGCCTTGAAATAAGAATCATGTAGATGAATTTCACCAATTAGCTTTCTCTCCAGTTTATTTTGGTCAAAGGTTTTATTAATTTCAATTATGACGCTAAGTGCCTAATCATTTCTTTCTCTGAATCTGAACTTACGGAACTTGAAAGCTTTTTCGATAGGAGCCAAATCTTTGGAATCGAGGGGTTACAGGTTTGTGCGAAGTTAAATTATACTTGAATTTCTCTTGTTCTTCTGAAAGATAACAGTAGAATATTAATATTGGTGATGTTTACAATGGGAAGATTTTTTAACTATTGAACTGAAGATTGTAAAGAAGTTTTTCGAATTTAACTGCAAGGGGTTTTATGTGGTTAACTGCCTCTCCGTTTCTAGCAAGCTTGTTCAAGGGCAGTGAATTTGATTATAGCGAGTTCCAGATCAAGCTTATAAGTCACGTAAATTTGGACAATGTGACGTGATCCCTTTGACGAACGAAGTAAGAAGCTTGCATAACAGATTCTTGAAACGCGACTCGAAGGTTTTTGATTAGTTGATTTGATTAAATTGGGATCTTTTTTGCATTACATTAGTAAAAGTCAGATGATTAGGAATTTTTGCCGTTCAGGCGTAATTTAGTGAAACGATAAGGGATGAAGGCATGATAACAATACAAAATCAAAATAAATTATGATCAATAATAAAGTACACACAAAAAGTAGAAAATACCTATGAATGAAAAAACAAAAGTTTTAAGCAAAATACATGAAATCAGACAAGCAAAGCACAAATCCAAAGTACAAAACTAAATACTTGAAAATGCAAAAAGTTACTCACCGAAATCCGACAATCACAAATGGCGCCACACCAATGCAAACAGAAAGCAAAATGAACCTGTTTGGGCTTCTATAATTAAGACACATAACACGCGAAGAAATACTCATTAGAAGTCAACACAAAATCAGCGTTATACTTACAAATTTTCACGGATGTTTCGATGGTTTTACCGAACACCATCTTCAAGCGCAAACGAAATGACAAGATAGCAAATAATGATTAGATAAGATAAGAAAGCCGGCAAGAATAAGCAAGTGGCGGCCATCTGTGGGGTGAAACCAGAAGTAAACATAATTTCTTAAAGGGAAGGCAAATTTTGGATTGGAATTAGGATCGTTTAACTAGAACAGAAAGATTTATGAATGTGAAATGCTTAGAAAATCCATTCTCCAATGGAAGATGTTTTTGAATAATTTTGGCAGCAGAAAACGGAAGTGGTTTCGGACCACAATGTTGAGCAACAGAAGACTTCTGTTTTCCTTTTTTCTAACAATGCCTAAGGTTCCGACGCGAATTTAAGGCTCCTTATTTGGCCAATGTAAATAAACACACTGGCAAGGATCTATAAATACCCCAGCATTCCATCCGGAATGGGGTCCTTGAGTATGGAACTGGATTTTACTGATGGAGAATAAAACCCGAAGTTAAATTTCTGCAAAATTGCAATTTATAGTAATTGCTGAAAAAGGGAATGACAACAGAATTTTTATATCTCGAAAAACAGAGTGCGCTTTAAGGTTTGAGATGAGAATTTTTTTAACTGCTTGATTAATATGCTGGTGGAAAGCCCTGTCAATAGCTATTGCTTTTAATAATTTCGTTTCCACAAGGGCTAGTTTGGAGAGCAACTTGAAGACCGGAAAAAAATAGGAATAAATGAAGCTAATTTTTGATAGTCGGATGACTGAGTCAGTGTGGTGGAGGCAAACCGATGAACAGGTACGGAAACGTATATGAAGTTGATGTGTACATGTGACCAGAATGTCGAGAACGGAAGGATTCAAGTCTCAAGTAAAGTGAATGATAGCAGGCTCAATAATTCATGTTGAAGAACTTTATTAAATCATCTTTATTACTTCAAACAGAGTAAAGTCGTCTACGTAGCGGAACCATGCGGGAAGTTAAGTTCAACATTTTTGATCATAATAATGCATGTAGATATCAGCCAGGATGGACTGAGGGGGCTTCCCTGGTATCCCTCAGTTTGCTTGTATATTTTTGGAACACAAAATGTGTTTGTTTCAAACAGAGTTGAGTGAGAGAAAGTAGTCATCAATTTCGATGCAAGAGAATGAAAATTGGCGAAGTCTGGTTTCTATACATCTTAATGCACCCTCCACGGGACATTGGTGAATAATGTTTTACATCAAAAGAAACCATGAGTAAATACTAGGAAGAACTGTTTTTATTTTTTTACACTCTATTGAATATTTTATGGTGTAAAGGATGTCTATAGGTGAAAATCTAGAACTAAATATTTAGCTAATGGATACGATGCAGTACCTAAATTTGATACATAGGGCAAAGGAATACCACTTTAATGAATTTTGGAAGAGCATATAATCTGGCACAATTCGAAAACAGAGGGATAAGTGAAAGTTTAAGTTGCCTGAAATGATTTGCGAAGATTGTCGCAGTTTTATTTTGACAAGTCCGAAGGTGAAGGATCTTTAGGGATCGATTAATGGTCCTTGTTTAGAGTTTAGTGACACCATCATTGTAAGTGTCCTATCCATGACACTATTGGCACCTTTGTCGGCCTTTGAATAATAATATCCGGGTTAGAATGAATTTCACGCAATGTAGCTCTTCTCTCGCATTTAGATTTGGTTTCAAGGTTTCGTTAACTAGAACAGAAGATTTTTGAATATGAAAATGGATGTTTTAGTTTGGTTTCACAACAGATGGCGCCATTGCTTATTCTTGTCCAGGCTTTCTTATCTTATCTAATCATTATTTCCTATTGTTCATTTGCGGTTTGCGCTAAGATGGTGGTTCGGTAAAACGTCGAAACTAGCCTGTGAAAATTTTTGTAAGTATAACGCTGATTTTGTGTTGATTCTGAATTAGTATTTATTCGGCATGTTATTGTGTCTTAATGTTTTTTAAATTGTAAAATTATCTATATTTTTGATGGAAAAAACTTCCATCCATTGTTATTTTTTAATGCAGTGGATCTAATTGATCTGGTGATTTAGGTTTTATATGAATTTTTTTCCTTGAAAATTTTCTGAGTGTTAGTCTTATTTTTATTATTATTATTGACTAGCCTTTGAAGAAATTTTTGAAGTAAAAAATGGCTCAAGTTCCTCCATACCCAGGGACTCAGGTTCCTCCATATCCAGGATTTAATCCTTACGTTGCTGGAGGTGCAGGTTATCCAGAACATCCAGGTCAACAGTATCCATACCCACAGCAAGCAGGACAACAGTATCCAATGTCTGATTCACAAGTCCCTGGACAGCAGTATCCATTGCCTACTGCACAGATCCCTGGACAGCATTATCCAATGTCTGGTGCACAGATCCCTGGACAGCAGTATCCACCACCTCCTCCTGGTAATATGCCTAGTAAGTTGAAGCTTGTTGTGTGTCTATTGTTAGCCCAGAATTATAAATTAGATAATTTAATGTTTTATCATTCTGTTTTTCAGAATGTACTAAGAAATGCCTAGTTTGTGTAGGTTATTTTATAATGGTTGTCATCCAAAAAATTTTGGAAAATTAGAGAAGTGAAAAACAGAAAAAGATGTGAACTTTTTCTAAAAATATTAAAGAGAATTAAAATTATTTTCATAAGTATTAAGCAAAGTTAAAAATAGGTATAGATCAATCCTCTCAAATGTTTTAAATAATACAGATTATCACTGTTAAAAAGAAAGCAAATGTAATAGTTACTATAATCTTCATGTTTCTTATACAAATTAATTTATCTGTCTCATATCTGTTATACATTTATCAGTTCATGTTTTTTTTTTCCTCCAGGTGTTTTTCCCAAGAAATAATTGGCAACCTTAAAATTAACAATAGCTTTGATATTCTCCCCCCTAAATTCATCTGTTCTCCCATATTTGAGATCTTTCCAATGACCTCCGCCCACCAGCGGCCGAGCGGTAAAGTCGCTGAACACTGTAGTTCCGAGTTGTTCGAATCCCGCGAACGGGCTGGCTGCATGGGGTTTTCGTGGTTTTCCCATGTGTAACGTGTATACGAGCCGTTTCCCTTAGAAAGTCCTCCGAAGGCATCCTCCTTTAGGCAGATAGCCCTAGTGTGCTTTGCCATAAATAAATACACCACACCAATGACCTCCTTTGTTCTTATTCTAAGATGACATAATGTCTGTTTAAAATTATTGTAATTGCTTATGATCAAAAAGTATATTGTCTCTAAAGAAATTATTCTGATGTGCCTGAAAATAAAGACTGGTGATTCGTCAAGAATGTACTTTTGGTTTAGGCATCTATCCAACTACACAGACTTCAAGCTGCAGTGCATCTAAATATGCATCCTCTGCCATGTCTACAGCCAGAAGTTAAAAGCATTCAATTCCTCGTCTGCAATTAAAATACTACATATATATATATATATATATATATGTATAATTTATTTACTAAAGAAATATTGATTATATTATTCTAAGATTTTTTAGACGATTTTTAAAAAGAGTGAATCATAGTTAGTAAGTTTTTTCGAAAATTTTTTAAAGTACTTGAATGTAAATTTAAAAATGTTTGGGGACTTGAATTAAATTATGAATAAAAAAATTTCAGTGTAAAAAGAAATTAAATAAAAGCAAGTAATCATTGCCATTGATCGGAAATTAGTTGATTTTCAAGGGGAAAACCAATTCCGTTTAAGGAAACAATAATAAAAAATAAATAATAGATGTGTTCGTCTTTAACTGGCTAAGGCCGATGCAGAGTTTAAGTGGGCAAATATTGCCGTGAATTGCGGGAGGCCCACCAAAGAACTCATTCTATTAAGCATTTTCGCATTTCAGTTTTTGAATGAAATCAATTTATGCAGTAAAATTGATAAATTATTGAGTAATTGCCCAACACCTTCGGTTAGCTTTTAATTCAAAACTTTTGTAAAAAATTAACATGGAAATGGATTACGAAATAGAACCAAAGTGATTGAAATAAACATCGATAGCACAAAATATAGAAAAATAAGCGATAGGGTTTTGCAAAAACAATCAAAAAATAAAATTTAAATTTAAAATTAATGATAGAAAAGGGAATGTACATGCCCAAAAAAAAAAAAAAAAAAAGGGACAGTGCTATATCTCCCGTTCTACTGGGCGATTGACAAAATTCAAACTGCGTTTTTCATGTCTCGAAAGCGCGACTTAGGATATATATTAGATTTATATATAGCACTATTCTAACATAGGTATTTTGACACAAAATCGGACTTTTTCTGAAATAACATACCAATTTTTTTTACATATTTCGATTCTACGACTCAAATTATGCCAGAATACCAAGTTTTGTAAAAATCGTACGAGTAGTTTTTAAAATATTAGCTCTCAAAATTTTAGCTCCTCAATGTTAATTGAATTTGGCAAATATTTATTAATATCTCTTTTTTTATTAAACTTTTTTGATTTTTTCTCTCACATTTCGAAATTTAGGTTCATTCCAAATAAAATTTACCCATTTTTTGTGTTTTATTTTTTAAATTTCTATTTTTAAATAATTTTTATAAATTTTTCGAAAAAAATTTTGAATTATAACCTATAAAATTTTTACCATCATCTTAAAGTAGGTATTTTTAAGCATATCTGCAAAAAATTAGACTTTTTTATTCAAAATTTTCTAAGATATACACGAATTTACATATTTTCGCGTTTTGAAATTTGGCATCTTTTTTTTTTGAGCGATAATAACGCCAAATGTGGTCTATGGATTTTTGTTACACTGAATTGCCACAGCTATTTTTAACCTTAAATTTCAAGTAAAATTTTACGGAGAATTAATTATATGACATTTTTTTCCCTCAATGAAGGCGTAATAAATATTTATTAATACTATATGAAAAGCTATTTTTTTAAATTATAGATATTATTCAAATTTTTAACAATTTTTTTTTTTTTAAATTTCTCTTTTCTTCCTTTTTTTAAAAAAATAAGAGTAATTTTTGTAAGAGTAAATTTTTACCTTCGGCGTTTTATCGTCTGCTACTTTACTTCGTTTAAATCGAATTGTCTAAAACTGAGAATTTTCGTTTGATGTTTATTTGAATTTTATAAATATTTTATGACATTAACTGCATAATTTATTTCTAAACAAACTGTTGCTTTTGAAGTGGCTGAAAGAGCGGCTGATACTATCATCCATATTTTTAAAGCACAGTATATTTTTATAGAAACATAAGATTTAGAATAATCATTTTTATAATAAGTCAAATTATGATATAAATATACAACCCTCTAGAGACTGAATTAAGTGGAAGTTCAATGGTTATGTAGAAATGATCTGCAGCTACTTAATGGCTGGATAAGTCAGCAGATTCTGTGGACAAGTAAGAATAATTATATAAACGACACCCAACATTCTGGAATTCAATTAACAACGAGGATACGATGTTTATTAAATGAATTTAAGAAGTTTTAAAACATAAAAAATCAACTCATTTTTTATCCTAAAATGTATTTTTGTGCGTAGCGTATTTTCATTATATCCTTAAAATTCTAATTTAGAATGTAATTGTCAAGAACTGATTCCTAATCATCAGTAATATTAAGTGCAGTGGTGAGTGTACGAAACTCGTCGAAAAAAGATTATTGCATAGTCATAAGCAAGCCAGATTCTGGGAATGTGGACAAGTAAGAACTTAATTGAACTTTCAATTAACAAGACTTAGAGCTCAAACACTGGAGTTTTCAAGTGCCTCTTTCCAGGAAACAAAATTAATTTTCTGAGGATACGACAATACTTTTTTGGGGAGAAAATGAATTTCACATTCAATGTTTTAACGAATTAAAAATTATAATAAAAAGTTCAAAAATGTCAAGATTTTATTCTAAAACGTAAAAGATTTTGTATTTACTAGTTCCTTGAAAATTCGCATCGATTTAATTCGGTAATCTCCCATTCGAAAAAATATGAATGAGTAGTGATTGAAGCTGCCGATAAATCGGTTTAGTGCATCCTAATAAGTAATATAATAGTAAATTTTTTTAATAAAATATAAAGTAATTGCAAATATTTCAAAAAACTTCTGTCTGAATGCAAATATTTTTCTATGCGAAATTTTTAATTTTATATTAATCAAGATTGCACACGATATTATTTATTTGCACTTCAATTTTTACCGTCAGCTCTAGTAGAAGTTACAAATCAATTATATTTAATTAAGGATTGGATTGGATTATTTAATTATGGCAAAGCACACGAGGGCTATCTGCCTAAAGGGAGGGATGCCTTCGTGGAGGACTTTCTAAGGTAAACTGGCTCGTATACACGTTACACATGGGGGAAAACCACGAAAACGCCCATGCGGCCAGCCCGTTCGCGGGATTCGAACCTCAGACCGAACTACCAGTGCTCAGCGTCTTTACCGCTCGGCCGCTGGTGGGCTATTTAATTAAGGAATGACCATCTAAATTTAGAAACAGCGTACCGTAACAGCAATTCAATTATTGGCGCCGTATCTTTCATGTTACTCCCGATTGGCAAGCTACATGATTTTTAATGAGTATTCGGGTTTTGCTAGTAACTTCATTTGGAAATCGCGCTTAAACTAGGTTAGTTGGTTATTTGAACATAGAAAGAACATGGGAGCTATTTGGTTAAGATGCTTTCATAGAGAACCTTTGTAAAGAGAACCTAGAAAACTACGAAAACCAACCATGCAGCCTGGGTTAGACTTCGCAACAAACAATTAGTATTTAACAATCTTCAAATGCTAGGCAACTGGTGAGGCTCCAATTAAATCTCCAATTTAATATTTTATTTGTAAATATTTAAAATATTGTTGTATTCTTAGACACAAAAAGCAGAATTTAAGTTTTGTTAACTCGTTAGTAAACTACCAAGCCGTAGTGCAAATGAATATTCAATTTCTTTTGCAATAATTGTATTCACTTAATATTCTTGGAATATGAGCTAAAGAAGGAACATTCTCGGAAGATTAAAGAAGTGTTTAAATCCAGTTATATTAGGTTTGTCTTACAAGCTCAGGATCAAAACGGTTCTGCAATTGCCCGAGTAGTTGACTTGCAAATGGCTGTGAATTAAGCAGATGACTTTTAATCTTATGTTTTCAGTCAAGAAACGTATTCCAAATGTTTTGTTTTGCAAGACAATGCATCTTTTCATTATTCAATAACCAGTCGGAGAACCGCTTGTGTTCCAAAAATAAGTATGTGTACTCAATCGTCCTGCATGTTCTTCAAATTTGTCTTCTTGTGATTTTTTTTTTTCCCCAAAAACTAAAGTTGCCTCTCAAAGGAAAGTTTTTTGATATTGAAGAGACAAAAGGAGTATGACATCTACTTTTAGAGGCATGTCAAAAACAGATCTCTACAAGCCTTCTCTTCCATTACATGTTGTGCAGTCAGACAAAAAGTTGCATCAGCGTAAATTCTATAATCTATTTTTATTACACTCTGATTACTTTACTAACATACAGTGAATATATACTAAATCTTTTACTTCAGCTTAAGTAA